CTGGCCATCAAGGACATCAAGGAGGCCATCGAGGAGGTGAAGACCAGGACCATCCGTTCGCCTTACACGCCCGACGAGCCCAAAGAGCCCATCTGGGTCATGCGCCAGGACATCAGCCCCACCAGGGACTGCGATGACCAGAGGCCGGCGGACGGAGATGTAAGTCTGTGCGGGGCGCGCATGCTGGGTTCCCCTAGCTGCTGGGAGTGGAGGCGTGTGCTGTGGGTCCCGGTTTGTTATTGCGGAGCGACTTTATGGGTACACGGGCTGTGGGGATGCTGGGAATGTTTGCACAGAAAGCCTCAGACAGGCGAGCGTCATGAGTTTCGTGGAGTGAAATGCAAGGGAGGGAAGGGGGTGCTAAGTGCTGGACACCACCTTTGGCTCAAAAGCAGTGGTTCTCCCAAGGGTACCTGAAGAGCGTAGGAGATGGACGACGGGATGCCCTCCCAGAGTTTCTGGTTCAGAAGATCTGGGATGGAGCCCGAGAATTTGTCCTGGAGAAAGAACATCATGCTTGCTAAGGTACAGGGTGGACCGAAACACAGGAAGACCCTCAACGAGATGGAGCGACACAGTGGCTGCAACAGGGATGGTGTGGAACCGCCAGGGGTTTCTAATGTTATACAGAGTAGGGTCGCTTTGGGTCAGAACCGACTGCAAGGCACAACGAGGGCAAATATAATCAAATCCAAACTTGGGAGCCGAGACTTTGTGGAAAGGATTCTGGCAGAGGAAGAGCAGGACTATTACAATCGGGTTCTTCTGTTGCAGCAGGCTGGACAGGTTCGGACCATCAAGATCTGAAAGCCTTTCAAAGACCGAAACAAAACCCGCTGCCATCGAATTGACTCCTATTCCAGGCATCCCTCCAGGACAGGGTAGAACTGCCCCTCTTGGGCTTCCAGAACAGCAAGTCTTTGTGGGAGCGGAAAGCCTCAACGTTCTCCTGTGGAGAAGTTGGTGGTTTCCAACTTATGACCTTGCAGTTAGTGGCTCAATGCCCACCACGGGTTCGGCAAAAAGGGGTTTTCTTTTACCATTGTGTTCCCTGAGGGTTTCCCGGCTGAAATCTACATGAGCAGCTAGCCAGAGCACTTCTCTTCCAGAGCAGCGGGTGGCTCCCATGTGCCCTCATTTCAATGAGCCACCCACCGCTTACCCATTGTGCCCCCACGGCCCCTTACCCATGCTTCAAACCAAAGAACCTAACGCCATTACTATGGGTTGATTTCATCTCATATCGAGCCAATAGGACAGAGTAGAACCGCTCCATGGGGTTTCCAGGGATGGAGTCTTCCTGAACAGCAGTCCTGGTGGTGCGGTGGTTAAGCACTTGGCGATTCACTGTAAGCCTGGTGGCTCCGATCTCCCACCTGCTCTGCGATCTATTCCTATAAAGATTAAACCCCAAACCAAAGCTGACATACTGCCATCTAGCCAATCCCTAGCAATCCCTAGGCTCATAAAGACCATATGTATGGTTTCTGAGACTGTCAATCTTTATGGGAGCAGATAGTCTCATTTTCCTCCCAAAGAGAGACTGGTGGGTTTGAACCAGCAACCATGGGGTTAGCAACCCAATGCCTAAACCCACAGCACCAGCAGGGTCCCTTGCCATGAAGATTGCACCCTAGGAAGCCCTATGGAGCCGTTCTTTTCTGTCCTGTAGGGGCCCATGAGTTGGAAACTTCTTGAAGGCAGTGGGTTTGGTTTGGGTGTTCATTTTACTTACATGCAAAGGGCCATGTGACCTCTTTGGAGGAAATCGTTCTGAGCCCTTCCTGCCAGTGGCTTCTACAGTTTGGGGCTATGAACTGCAAGGTCAACAGTTCAAAACCATCAGTCTGCTCCTTGGGAGAAAGACGAGACTTTCTACTCCCGTGAAGAGTTACAATCTTGGAAAATCACAGGGGCATTTCTACCCTGTCTTATAGAATCCCTTTGAGCCAGAATTGAATCTATGGCAGTGCAATTTTTTTGTTTGTTTGTTTTGCTGGCGTAGCAGGATTACACATTGAGCTGCTAACCACAAGGTCAGAGGTTCAAACCCACCAATTGCTCCACAGGAGAAAGATGAGACTGCTCCCATAAAGATGAACAGTTTTGGAAACACACAGGGGGCAGGTCTCTTCTGTCCTATAGGGTCACCGTGAGTTGGAATAGATCCGTGGCAGTGGGTTTGTGCATACTTAAAGTTTGAGTAAGTATTTAGTTTCCAGTTCTGGTGGTACGCCCTTCTGTCTTCACAAAAGACATGCCCGGAATGTCGCCCATCATGTCAACCAAAGTGTACTTCCCCGGGAAGAGCTGCCAAAAGCTATTGCTGCCCCTGCTGAGATTTTTATTTTCCACTTTTGAAACACGTAGAACATTTTATAGCATCACTAGCTTGGGTGTCACAGTCTATTCAAAAGAAATCAAGATGACCAACCTTTGCCTGACTACCTTCTCCTTCTGCCCTGCCTCTCACTTTTCCATTCCTTTGAAGAATTTTAAGCAATTTCATTTAAAACTTGGGCTAGAAGAATGGTTGCAAGGTGGAGTTTGATTTTTTTTTTTTAATTCTGCATTTTCTGGTGGCCCCAGGCTGTTTCATTAGCCCAAGAATAAGAAACTGTTATTCTCAGTGGGTGTTCATTTTACTTACATGTAGAGGCCTGCAGAGGTCAGAGAGGTCGTCTTCCCCCTCCTCTTTCTGGAGCAAGTCAGCATCACTCACCTGCGAAGGCAAGGTTGGAAAGCAGTCAGGAAGGAAGTGGCATGGTCCCCAGCAAGAGGGCAGCATTGGATCAGTTAGTTCACGCTTCAGCATCAATTAAAATACAAATAAGCCAGGTGCACTTAGGTGTGGAATCTCCAGGTTCCTCTTCCTGGGAGGGATTGCAGCTAGCAGTTGCAAATGAGGTGGAAATGGAGCAGGTTTTCAAGAGTCCCGAGCTGGCCAGGGGCCAGCCCCGCATCCTGTTAGGAATATGGGAAGCTTTCAGAGGAAATGCCACCCTGGGACATTGGCCCAGGTGCTGGCTCTTCCTTCTGCTTTCTCCACAGGTTCCTTGAAATGCCCTTTTGTTAGTCTGGGTAGACTAGAGAAACAAATCCACAGAAACTCATTTGTATATAAGAGAGTGTTTTATATAAAGGGTAAGTGTACATTAAGAAAGCATCCCAACCCAGTGCTGTCCAAGTCCATAAGTCCAACATTAGCCCATATGTCTGACACGGATCTACAAAGCCCTCCTCCATCTCACAAAACACACACTATGATGCAGCCTGCAGGAGGAAAGCCAAATCAGTGAGCATGTAAGCATCTCAGCACAGTCAGGGGTCCCCATTTGACCCAGGGCTAGAAAGAGCTGTCCTGAGCATCCCCGCTAGTGCCATGGCTGAGTGCTTGGCTGGTCACCGGAAGGGTGGTGGTTTGAGGCTGCCAGTGGCCTTAGGAGAGGAAGACCAGGGTTAGCCACTAGGTCCGTGATGATGGCAGCAGCGGGTGGGCAGATCCTCTAGGGCAGTTCTGCCCGGCCCCATTAGGTTAGTGTAAGCGGAATTGCACCCACGGCACCTCACAGGAACAACCAGTCAGCTCAGCAGGGCGTGGAATTCCCTGCGAGGCCGACGGGGTTCTTCTCCTCCCTTGGGGTACACTGGCCTTTGTTTCCCGGGGAGGCATCCGGACTGAGAAGCGAGGATGGCTCATTCACAGAAATCGACTGAGCGCATCCTGGGCAGTCAGCACTGAGTGAACATCATTGTGTCCTAACACTTTGAGAAAAAAGAAAACAGAAGAAGTCCTTTGCTTCCAGGAATATGTTTGAGGCCCACCTCCCTTTGTGACAAACACTGCTCATGAATTGGCAGTTCTGAAAAGCTCCCCGGCCAACCCGTCTCTTTTAGGCAACAGAGCCCTTCTGAGGTCAGAGCCCAGTAGAATCAGAGGGTTGGTGGTGGCACACATGCTGCCTTTGAGGGAGGGTTTGGACAGCTTCATGTGGTAGTGGCGGCGGTGGTGGTGGTGTGCCGCTTGAAATGGGGTTTATCTCTGGTCCCTCCTGAAACGAACGTAAATAACAGAAGGACGTAGGAGCTGACACATAGAGATTGCAGGCAGAAGAACCTCGGATGAGAGCCACATTTTGGAACGCTGTGGTGACTGGCTATGGAAGACATCTGACTGGTAGCCTTCAAAAGGAAGTAGGGGGAAAAATCCATTTTTTCCAAAAACTTTTGAAGTGCCCTCGCATTTCCAGTTCATGCAAACACAGGAAGAATTGCATCTCCTCCTCCTGTGGGAGTCAGGCATGGATGTAAGCGATAGCAGAGTTCGCAGTATCACAAGGTGGTGGCACCTCCTTCATCCTAGTCTCAAGGGACCCCAGTGAGCGGAAAGCCCTGCTGCCGACCCATGTGGGCCATGTGCTGTGCCGCAGGAATGGCCACTTACTGGGCACTTTCTCAC